CATCCATGCATGCCTAACTTTTCTTGCTCTCAGAAGCTGAATTAATTCACGACAACCTGGTTTAGATCAACAACCTTAGCAATTGAATATTTTATTGTGTAAGCTTATGTATTTCTTTGAGCACGAATCTGATTTGGATTAATTGTTTTTACTTTTTACACATATAATCGGTGTTGAATTCCTTGCTTGGGTCAACCCAGAWAAGATCATTAATTTCAGCCTATTTAATTCTGACCAGAAGGATTAAATGATATAGCAGGTCTCATCGTCCAAAGGACCGGAATTTCTTCCCGGCCGGTAATCTGATAAGTACTTGCTACAGCGGCCCCAGTAGATTATACACCTGAACCGAGCTGGGGACGAACGTTTTGACTGGTGGCTTCTGAGGTCCATCGTGCACTGTTTGTGGTTCCTAAATTTTCAATCTTTATATCACCTTAATTTAGGAAGGTTGCTTCACTCTTAAGATACCCTTAAAGAAATTCCCTTGTTGGTAAGGAAAAAAGAATTTGGGCTTTTGAAACATTATGATTCTTTTATGCATGCTCTTAGGTTTTTTTGGGTGCCCATGACACATCTTCCCTATGCCCCTTCTTTTCTGGCAAAGGATTTCAAGGTTGGCCCTTCTCTAAAAATCAAAGCCTTTTGTTGAAAAGCAGCATTGCAAGTTACCAACCCTTGTAAGATGCTCCAATATAGACAGAAGTTATAGTGCCTCTCACTTCAAGTTTCAGGAGTGGGGAAAGCACTAATCACCTGTTGCTCTTTCCCCTATGTTGCAAAAGTGCCATTCCTAAAACCTTTTAAAATAACTGGTACAATCCTCAACTTGGTGATGAAACTTTTCTCCTCCAATGTAATTCAAGCTCATACCAAATGAGGTAAGATTCCTTGGCACTGCATCATAGAAGTTGTATGTGGCAGTGAATGCAAGAATCCTTGAGGATAAAGAGCAAGAGGTGGATGATGTAATTGATTTGATTAAGCTTTTGAAGCAACTGGTATTATCCCCAACTCAGAGATGAAACTATTTTCCTCCCATATAATTCAATCTCATACCAAACAAGGTAAGATTCTTTGTGTTGTACAAGAGCAGTTATATTATGGAGTATTTGGTATGAATGAAATGAAAGAACCATAGAGGACAAAGAGCAGAAGGTGGAGAATATGATTTGGCAACTACTTGAGAGTTAAGATGCTTGTTCTTCTTCAAGGTGTCAGACTGGTATCCCATCTCAACTTTTCAAATCTGATAGAAGAAGGAAACTGCCAAGTAGTTGTCTTACAATTGTCTTCAACAGATTTAGGTCCTTGTACTCTTGATCATTTGATTAGACTATTAGAGAAGAAAGGTAAGGATATTGGTGTCCAACATGAACTGCTTTGCTTTTTCAAATGGACCACAATATCTGAAAATAGCCTTGCTGACATGTAGCAAGGGCTGGGGTTGAAAGAGAAATATTGGCTTGGGGGCGCAAGCTCAGGGTTATTTTGTAACAGAATGCGATTAAGGAGGTTATTTTACAGGGCAGCCTTGGACTGTTTTTTGCACTGGTCCTAACCCTTACATATCCATACAAATGGAAGTGATGTTTCTTTCTCGTTGGTAATTCAATCCAATTGGAGTAATTGTATCAAAAAATAAATAACTAAGACTGACCTATGATAAAAGTTGATGACATCTTAACCATCTAATCATTGTCATTGATAAATCACCAATCAAGCCAAAAAATAGAAATAAGATAAGAAAGCATGTTTGGCATAAAAAGAAATAACTGACCTCATAGCCTCTGCAAATATAAGTTCTTACCTGCAGTGTTTGAGAAGGGATCTGATCTTTTTCACATTGGTGATCTGAGTACAGTGACAATGAACCACTCAAGGAGTTGTGGAAAACACAAGATTCACATTGCACATTAAGAGCCTGTTCAACTAAATGCTCCAATCTTCTTTCTGGTATCATAACCATGGGAGGAAGCAATTTCTGCAATTTCTCCACAAGCTTCGACCTTGATTTTGCACTCACACTGCCTTGACTGGAACACCCAAGTAACACAGACTGTGAAAGAGACATAATGCACATAGAAAGCTCATGCACTCGGTTTTTGTTAATTCCAAGAGGTTCTATCTCTATCCTCAGTGTCTTCAAAGCACCCATGACTTTTCCCTTGTCCAGGAGCTCAAAGAACTTGTACTCAAAAATCAAAAAAGATGCAGACTTCACAGTTCCTTCATCAATAAGACCAATTTTGTGTAATGTAGCCACACTCTCATCCCAGTTCCCATCAATTAATTGCTGCCTAAACAAATCCACCATGGAGGAGTGCAAGGGTATCCCTGACTCTTCCTCCAGAAGAGCCCCACTCCTGTCATAACCAAGGGAGTACAAGGCCTTGGTAATGATCCTGACAAATTCCACTCTTTCAATAAGTCCTTGAGTACCAACCATCTGTTCGTCCCCTTGGGAAGGTAGAGGTCGAGGCATCAAGTCTCCCGAAGAGCCAGTAAGGGTCTCTGCAAGAGATGAATTATTCAACGGGCTCCTCAATTCTCCAGAGGATAATTTCACACGTTTTGAGGGTGGTTCATCATCCTCTACACCTCCCATGAAATGCCCAAAATCAGCCCATATATATCCAACCCCAGAAACAGGCTAAAATATTTAGCTGAAAAGCAGGGGAATTTGATCTCAGACGCCTCCAGATGAAACACCAATCAGAGGACACGCAACTAAATATAAGCAGTGAAATCATGGAGTTCAAATCGTAAGGAACGATTTGAACAAAACAGACAACCAAGGAAAAATAAATTGTTCTGGGCACCGATTCAAAAACCATTCAAAGAGAAAAACAAATATTTACCAATTAACTCAAAGGGGGCTCAAAGTCCCAAACCCAGAAGAGAAATCTCAAAGCATACAGAGAGAGAAGAGGCCAAAACTATCGATAAAGAAAAAGGAAAAAAAAAAAAAAGGAGCTTCGCGTTAATATTGATACATGTGTCCTGTTTTACAAATAAAGGAACAGAATTGATCAAAAGCGATCAAATAAATCATCTGCTGGGTTTGTATAGTACAATGGATAAAACGTAAAAGTGCAGCCAGCTTGTTTACTGCAGATATAAAGGAAAGGGTGTTTGGGAAAGGACATTGGGTGGGATATCTTCGAGTGGAGGAAAACAGTTCCTGGAGACAGTAGAAATAATTTAAATAATGACAAATTAAAGAAATGGAAAAAGAAGGCTGAATTCCAGAATAAATTGATACATTCAAAGCATTTTGTGTGTGTGCGCTTTTGTGAGATATGATGAAATTTATAACTCAAAAACGGCATACATTTTCCGCCCAACACATCCCCTACCTCAGATGGACCTGGTGTCATTCTCTTTAATAATAGTTTTGTTCCTAAAAAAAAGTTGTTTGGATAAGCTCATAAGCTACAGGATTTGTGATTTCAAAGCCCAAAAGCATAAAGCCATGATATTGGGTTATGTACTTCGAGGCCGAAAAGTGTTTTGGCTTTATATTATTATGTTTTTTACTTTTAAACATTTTTTGCCAAATGCTCAAACCACCTTTTTACTCAATTTTTGTTTCTCACAGTTTAAGACTCAAAAGTAAAAGATTATTCAAACAGAACCCATTTACATATAACTCAAATTTTCCATTAGCACATCAACGCTGAGATTAGAATTTGAGAAGAATCAAGATATAACTTTACATTACACAATTTATAAATTATGATTATTTGATGTTTTCTTTCCATGTTAAGTTTTAAATTTCCATATAACAAATTATAGTGTCACTTCACCCTTTTTCTTGCTAAAAACGGCCTAAACACAACATGAGTTTTCATAAATTAATTTAAGGGTCGTTACTAGAACTTATAGTTTTACAGGGGTGTCAATTGGACTGGATTTGGTCCAATTCGATCCAGCCCAATGTGAGACCATTATAAATGAATCAGGTCCAATCCAATCCAATGAATGTTTTGGACCAATTTGGACCGGTCCAATTCAATGTCTTGATCATCCAATCTATTCAAATTCATTTTGATTTAAATTGGTTTCAACCCAAACCCGGTCCATTGACACGTATATTCTTATCTTATATCAATGGACCAGATATTGGCTTAATCGAACCCAAACCAATATAAATTTATTACGGACTGACTAGGTCCAATCCAATCTAATAAATATTTTGGACCGAATTGGTCCAATCCAATATGTCTTGTTGGTCCATCCAATCCGTCCAAATTGATTTTAGATTGGATGGGGTCCAATCCAAAGCCGGTCCATTAACATCCTTAGACCTACCTTATAGTTTGTATTTTACAAGAACACCCCTTATAGTTTGCAACCTATTTACTTAATGGACCTTTCATTAAGAACTATTTGTTTTGCCTTCTGAAAATAGTAACATGATCGTCTAAACTAAGTGGAAAATGTTTAAGGGCATGGACCCATGGTTGCTTATTCCAAAAGTACCCTTAAACACTATTTTATATAGAAAAAAAATTTGACAAAATAAAGAAAATTAGTTGATCGTGCTTTACTAAGGGGAAAAAATGAAATTTTTGTTTTTAGTTTCTTTTGATTAAATTTATTTGAATGGATGTTAGGGTTAAAACTATCATTTTTGACTTTCATATAATTGAAAATCGATTAAATAAATTGATTGCAAATTATAGGGGATGTTTTAGTAAAACACCAATTATACCATAGGTTTTAGTAAAATCATGAAAATATAGGGAGTGTTTTAGTATTGACTGGTTATAGGACATAATTACATTTTATTAGTTTTGTCTTGTTAGGTAGTGTTTTAGCTTCATCATGTTTGACCTTTAACACTTGCATCAAGGTTTCTATGAATTTTATTCTACTTGATATCTTGGATTTGATGGGTTGAAAGAAAGGGGTGATTGTTTCAACTTTCAAATTCCAACTTAAAGTCCCACGTGAGTTTGAAAAATCAGGATATATTTTGAAATTTTGAAAGAAAATAAAGGGTAAAAGAATCACAAGATATATTTAAGTCTTTTTTAAAAATTCAAAGTACATCTTAAGTCTATTTATGAAAACTCAGGGTATGTTTAAGTCTTTTACCCAACACTTTAAGGGACCATGTTACCACTTTCCTTTACTTGGTGAAATATCTTTATATAGTACCTTGCCATCTTCTCTCGTAAAATACACTAGCAAGTAAATTCATGCAATGCATATTGCTGAATAGAAATCAGGTAAGGTTAGGCCTAGGCCAAGGTCCATGTTAAGGTTTAGTCTTAGATTGGCCATAACCTAACCCAATTAATCCATCTAATTTACAACCCTTACTTATATTAAAGAGATACGGTGGCTTGGGGTGAGCACTATTCGATTTTGGTTTTGGTTAAATCGGTTCAGTTAATTCGATTTTTAGTTTCAATTTTTAGAATTAAAAATTCTGTTAACTGAAATAATCGAATTTTCTATTATTATATATAATATAATATATAATATATAATATGTAAGATGCAATATATAATATATAATATATTATATATTTATATATTAATATATAATAAAATGAAATTCAATTTCATAATATATATTTTATAATATATAATATATTATATGTTACAATATAGATATATATAATAGAGTATATATTATTAAAATTTGGTTTTAACCAAAAGAACCAAAAATTTCAATTTTGGTTATTTCGATTTTTCTATAATTTGGTTTCGATTCAATTTTTAATTTTTTAGTTCAGTTTTTAAACCAAATGCTCACCCCTAGGGATGGCAATTGGCGGGTTTGGGTTGAGTTCTCAATCTAATCGTCTAACCTACTAACCCATTTAGGGAAAATTAAATGGGTTGGGTTCAACCCAAACCCTCCTTGACCCTGATGTTGTCCAATCCGAGGTGTCTCAAACCAAGATCGCAGTTAGCTGATCCTACCAACTAGCGAAGCCGAGGTGGAAGGATGAAGCCGCACACCAAGAACTGAAATAAGAAAATAGTTAGAAGCCCGAGGAGTTATTCCCCAGGTAGGTACTCTGACGCTCAAGTTAGTCAAGAAATGGTGGATGATCGGGATGAGCAGTTGAGAAAAACATGCTGGTCCGAGTAGGAGGCTGAATAACAGTATGGGTGCTGAAGAGTCAAAAGTCCTTTACCTTGAGCAGGAGTTACCTTTTTATAGCCGAAGATCTGTGTCCTGTTCAGATGAGGCTTCCGGGGTTGCCAAGATGAGGTTGTCCGCCGAGGTCTTCGAGATAAGACCTAATCCCCGGCAAAGCTGTCATCCTTATCCATACGGGGCTCTCCTTCTTGGTCGCACTTATCCATCTTGCGTGGCACCGACGTGGTTGAAGAGATTAAGACGGTCGTAGAGATGACACATGGCACCCGGGGCCAGCTCAACCATAACCCAAACAGACCCAGCCCAATCCGTCTGACCCATTAATCCTATAAATACACAAATTACCATGGTTTTAAAAATTGAATCAGAAATAGAACCACTTTGGCCACCAGTTTCCAAGTCAGCAGTTCGACTATCCAAGTCAACCAATTCAAACGTTTCAAGAGTAAATCTCATCTACCCTTTGGATTGGAATATTAGGGTAGGATGGATATAAATATTATGAAAGAGTGAGAGTGAGAGGAGGGTCTGTCAGTTGAGAGAAAGGGAAAGAAGAAGAATAATAGAGGAAGAAGAGGTGTGGCCGTGTGGGCGACCTATAGCAGCAACAACAACAATGTCTTGCAGCAGCAACAGATTTCTCTCTCAAACCGCTCTTGCAAATATGTAATCTAAGACCTCTGACAGATCTCATATCTGAACTAACCTCTCAAATCTCTCTCATATATCCCACCTCTCTCTCTCTCCCCCTAGGGATGCAAACGGATCAAATCGGATCGGATTCAAACTAGGGTATATTTGAATCCGATTTGACACTGTTCATGGCTGACCCAATCCGTTTGTATCTGATAGGCAAGGATTTGAATTCGAATCTGATTTGTTTTGTTTTCTTAAAAATTAATAAATTATTAAAAGAAATATAAAATATACCAATTTAAATAAAGAAAAACAAAAAATATAATAATTTTTTAATAAAGAAAAACAATATAAATAAGTAAATGACATATATGTATTATATATATTTATATAAATAAACATATAACATATATTGGATCGGATAGGGGGTGATCTGAAGATCCAAATAAGTGTGACCCGAATTTGACTAAATAGGATCAAATCTCGGATTGGATTGAATCATGATCCGATCCATTTGCACCCCTACTCCCCCCCTCAAATCTTAGAGATCAATCTGTTTCTCTGCTTTTTTGTTATTTTATTTTTGAAAATTTTAAGTAAAGTGTATTGGACCGCAAACCATTGCCCAGGTTGAACGGTTCAGGGGTTTGACCATCTGGGTCAACGGTTTGTTGTCCAATTCAATGTTTTTTGATAAAATAATGGGTCAGCAAGAAAACGAAACTGGTGTCTTGACCGGTTTCCGAGCCGAATGGTTCTACCATCCAGGTCAATGATGATTTTAAATTACATAAAAATATAACATAAATTGCAGAAAATACAAAGTTATATAAAAAACATAGAGATAAA